CGTGCCCGGCCCCCATAAGTCTTTTAATAAGATTATTCTCTTGCTAATAAAAAGCCAACATCAGTTGGCTTTAAGGAAACAATGTTCTGATAGTGGAGATGGAAAGATGAGTAATTCTGAAGTATAAATCACTTTGGGAAAGGAACTAAGATATACCTAAGTGACTTAAGAACATTAAGTGTTCAAGGGAAGTTAGGTCGGCGAAAAGAAAGAAATGAAAATATGAACACCCAGATTAACGGACCTTTAAGATCCTTTCCAGCTCTGAGATCGTAAGATTCTACAGTAATGCCAAAATAAGCATCTCCTCCTCTTTTCCTTTGCTGCATAAAAGAGTTCTTTCCTCTGGAAGACACAGATCTTAGGCCAGCACAACACATTATGAATTTTACTACCTTTACTTTTAAGACTACAAACTACCTATAATTAGAGTCTGGATTATTTTAGGCAGGCCACAAGTAAATCTCTTTGGTAAATAGGAACTATTAACTATGCCTGTCAATCAATAAGCATTTATTTAATCTACCTAATAAGCTTTCAAAGAAGAGTAAGTTACAGTATTACAAGAGTCATTAGACTTCTGAGAGGATGTACAGAGATACAATTTTAACTTGAAAAACATTTAAAAATTGATACAGCTAAAGCTATACTTATAAGCAAATGTGTAGCCTTCAATGTTTATATTGAAAAAGAAAAAAACTACAAATTAATAAGCTAAGCATTCATCACAAAAAGGTTAAAAGGTTTCCCAGGTAGGACAAAAATAAAGAGCAGAAATTGAGGAAACAAAAATACAAATAATAAAATTTAAAAAACCCCAAAAACTGGTTTCTTAAAAAGGCTAATAAAATTAATAAACTTCTAGCATGACATATTGAGAGCAAAAGTGAGAAGATACAAATAACAAGAATAAAAAGAAGATATAACTACAGATACTAGAAATATTGAAAGGATAAAGGATATTCAGAAAAATCTTCTTATAAATAAGTTTGACAATTCAGATGAAATGGACAAATTCCCAGAATATAATCCTAGCAAAAACTGACTTGGCAATTTACAGATTATACAAACTGCATGTGCAATAAAAACCAGAAATGAAACTCCAAACTTAAGTCTTGATGTGGATTTCTGTGAGGTAAATTATCATTACATGAGCTTACAAAACATTAATGATCAAACTTGTATTTGGGAAAGTTCTAGTTTTTCTGTACTACACTGTTTAAGTAATAAATCAATAGCTAATCCATAAAAACTGGTCTCTAGGACTCTAAAATAAAGAATGTTATCATCCAATAACAGGTATTAGTAGTGGATTTAATGAGGACACAAAAAAGAAAATCATGGAAATACAAAAGAAATCGTATGTATAATCAGAAATACTAAATAAATTAGAAACTCTGTATTAATAAGGATTCCTTCCACAATTTTTAAAATTCCCTTGAGAATCTGGGGAAATCTTTAAATGTGCCCCCATAAAACTGCGAGTAGACTCAAACTTATGCATAGAATTTTAAAGACTCAAGGATCCCCTGATGCCCATATATGATATTGGTAGGAGTTCAAGATAAGTAAAACTTTAAGGTACCCAATAGTCAATAAAGGTAGCATAAATAAAAACTTTTAAAAGTTATATGGGTGAGACCAAAATGAAATGCAAGCATTAGATTAAAAATACTACTATAAATAATGAATTTCAGCACCTGGAGGTAGGTCTTTAAATTGAGACGCTTAATTGAAATTATATGGACCAAATCAAAAGAAAACTATAGGTCTCTAAAGATCTTCAAGGTCTACCTCAAACAGCACCTCTCTCATTTAACTTCCTTTCTCTACTGCTCCCACACACATGGCACTCTGCATCTCTTCTCTGGCACTTATATCTGGCATGTATCACAGATATTTGCCTATGTGGTTTACCCCTTTATAGGAACTCAGAAAGTATTCCAAAGGAAGCTAATAATCTCCTCACTTCAGTATTCCCTTGCGGTGCTCAGAGAGGATAATTGGTACACCACTAAAATGTAAGCATAGCAAAGGAACAGAGATCCTGGGGGATCATTGCTTTTAGGTACTGTACAGTGACAGAAATCCCTTGAAATAGTAAAAATGTTCGTAAAAGAACAAGACTAATTTACAATTAATGTTACTGGGTTGCCCAAGGGGGAAAATAGAATTAGGATATGTTGATTGTGGCAGTAAAAACGTGGAAGAGGCAGATGCTTTAGAAAAGAAGAACAAATGATAAATAAATTCGGCATTTGGGCAAATAAAAGAATAAGTGAACCTCAACTTTGGCACTATTTTAACAATAATCAAACGAACATTCTTTAACAACACTTTAACCTTTTCTGGATTAATGATTTGCTTAAGACATCAAAAGCAATTTTACTTGTGAAAATTTTCATCGGTTTCCTCCAGATGTAAGAGGATCTCCTCGGCGCACTCCAAGGAGGGAGCACCCGTGATTTTCTCCTTCACGCTCTGAAACAACTGCCTCAGCATCGCCTGCAGCATCGCCTCATCCTCCCTGGAGAAATGGGCCATCATCTGCTGGAATCAAACGCCCACTCCCATTACTCCGGGTCCGAACAAACGCCACGCACTGCGCACGCGCACTCCGACCCAGCCCCGGCCCTCGCGCGGCGCCGTTCCCTGGGAGACCGCGGCGAGCGCTTGTGGGTGGGCCCTCGGCTACCCGCGCGACGTTCAGAAAACCAAGTCACCTTACTTTGGCGAGGCAGGGCTCCGCGAGGACCCGCCTTTCGTACTCGTAGTTGCTAGCCTTCAGTACCAACAGAGCTCAGGCTGCCTCGACTAACGGCAAAAAAGAACCAGGAAGGATCTGATGGGAGGACCTGACGGCGGAACGTCAGCGCTGCGAGTGACGTCAGCCCGTTGACGTGGCTTCCATGGTGGAAGGGAGTGCCTGCTGACGACCTGTTGGGTCTCCTAGAGGAGGTTGGGGTACGCTCGCGCTACCTAGCCTCTGCGATGTAGGTGGAAGGGAGAAGAGTAGTAAGAGAAAGGGTCAGTAAAAGAAAGATTACGAGCGAAAATGAAAGTTCCAATTGAAGAGTATACATATATTTAGGGATAAATAATATGCAATGAAATGATTACTCTTTTGCAGTGCTATTAGGAATTGTTAAGAGTGCAAATAAGCGAAGTCTTCCTGGAAAATAAATTAGAAATATGTATCAAGAACTTCTGATTCAGTAATTTCATTTCTAAGAATCTACTTCAAGGATCAAAGATGTAGTTGATGATTTATTATAAGGATGTTTACAGACAGATTATCTGTAACATAAAAAAAATGGAACCTTCGGAATATTTCTTTTTTGTTGTGTTTTTTTGGTGGGGTTTTTTGTTTGTTTGGTTTTTGAGATAGCTGTCATGGATCACCCAGGCTGGGGTGCAGTGGTGTGATCATAGCTCAGCTAGGATAGATTTACCCATTTAGTACTTTCAAAATCTTTTTTCCAGGCCAGTTTTTAAATAGATGGATTTAAAATAGCCTTTATGTTTTGTAATATTTAATATGTTAGTGGAAATTTTCAAATTCATATATCTCTCAATAATGTTATAAAACTGATCATATTATTTCATTTCCCAGATACTTTTCCTGTACATACTAGCCATGAACATTAGAATAACCCATTTTAAAAATATCAAGGCACTAAAAAAATTTGAATTGGAAAAAGTAATCTATGTAATAGAATTTGGCATTTCAGTTTTTCTGTTAAAGCTGAATAATCTTTTTTCTAATACAGATATAAAAAATTGCTACTATTAATGCAGTAATGGTCACAATATTCTGGAAGATTACAAAATTATAGTGAAATGTCAAAACTACTGTTAAACTACCAACAATAGGCACTGAGTCATTTTTAAAGCTTTATTTTACCATTTCAAGAAGGTTATTTTACTATTAAGTCAGTCACCCATATAATATACGTTTGTTATAACTAGAAATACCCTATAGGAAACATCTTACTGGATTTTGATGACATAAAAATTGTTTGGCCTGTTAAGCATGACAGCTTGAACATGTGTTATTTATTTTTGTTTAATCTAGAAACCCCATTAAAATGATAAAGAAATACAAATGACATAAACTCATAAGGACAAAGAGGTTCTGAGAGACCACAGAGAATTTGGTTTGTGAAGACTATAGGTGATGGTTTACCTACTCAGACAAAGGCTGATGGTTCTGGGAAGAATTTTTAGGGTTTGTGGGTAAGTCTTACCTCATCTTATGCAAGGAAGCATATTTTAGGAAGAAGAATTATGGTTCATGTAAGAATTTTCTGTAAGTCAAGCTATAATATACAAGAAGACAGAGTCAAGTGGAGGCCCTATGTGTATTCTGAGTGTAGACAAGCTTCATTTTACACCGAAAAACAGTCAAAGGAGAATGGATAAAGAAAATGTGATGTGTATTCACAATGGAATATTATTCAGCCATAAAAAATGAAATCTTATTTACACCAACATGAATGGAACTGGAGGTTATTATCTTAAATGAAATAAGCCAGGCATAGAAAGATAAATATCTCATGTTCTCAGTCATATGTGAGAGCTGAAAAAGTGAATCTCATGGAGACAGAGAGGAGAATGGTGGTTACCAGAGGCTGGGAAAGGAAAGGGGGAAGGGGAGATTGAAGAGAAGTCAGTTAATGGGTATAATAATACAAGTTAGCTAGGAGGAATAATTCTAGCATTCAATAGTACAGTAGAGAAATTATAATTAACAGTACTTCAGTGTATATTTCAAAATAGCTAGAAGAGAAGAATTTTCATGTTCCCAGCATAAAGAAAAATGTTTGAGGTGATATATCCCAATTAGGACCCTAGTTTGATTATTACACATTTGTACAGTATCAAAACATCATATATACCCCCAAAATAAGTACACTAAGATATATCAATTTAAAAAAGAAAATACTCTTGGAGATTAGAAATATAATTGTCAATTTTTTTTTAATTCAACAGAACTTCTATATGTTAATGTTGAGACTGTTTCTTATTAATTATAACAAAACTATAAAAAATTTAACCCTGAAAAGGTAAGGTCAAATGATCTAAATCAAGGGATCTCTATTTGACCAACAGAATTTTCAGAAATAGAAAAGAGATGAGAAGCAATAATTAAAGATATAATTTAAGAAAACATTATCAGAATGAAAAAACATAAATTTCCACATGGAAAATGCCTGCCAAATGTCCAAAACAATGAATGAAAAAAAATATTCATACCAAGTGTGCTGGAGGAGGAAAAGGTCACAGACAGAAGAACAGGACTCAGATGCCATTAGAATTCTTAACAGACAATATTAGAAGATAGAAAACAACAAAAGACAAATTCTGAAGGGAACATAATTTTCAACTTTAAAATATGTACACAAATGATCAATTCACTGTAGGAGTAGAAAAAATGGCATTTTCATATAAGCAAGTCCATAAACCCTTACTTAAGAAGCCACTAGAGGATGTGCTCTCCCAAAATGAGGCAGTCAATCACAAAGTGAAAGACATGGAATTAAAAAAAATATAAACTTCAACACAGCAAAGAGATAAAGGATCTCTTAAGCGATGGCGTAGTGAGTGGATGGCCCAGAATGACAGTTGTGCAGGAGGCACTAAAATTAACCATTCTTAACTGAAGCAAGAAGATGAAGGACACCTAGTGTGGTTGCTCTAAAACCAAAAGGAAACTGATAGATTTCCTAATATTTTTAAACATAATCAAGAATTATTTCAGCTTTATAAATTTTTATTGCAGAGTTTGGGGAAGAATTAAGCACAGTTATATAAAAACGTAAACCCTCCCAAAATGAGGCAGTCATTAATTCCAAAAGGAAATATAACTATTGTGCAATTTATGCCTCAGCAGTGAAAAATATGTACAGAGTAATGGCACATAACCATAGTAATAATAATGTGAAAAGTAATTGTTGATTTCACCAAAAAATTGTGAAATAACTATACTGGAAGAATGAACGGAGGATAATTGGTGAGAGGTGGCTTCCACAGTAGAAAATAAATTTATGATGATAAAATTTATATAATAAGAAATAGGAATTTAAGTAAAGGTTTTAGAAATATAGAGGCAAATTCTAAAACAAACAAACAAAAAACAGTTTAAGAATTGAACATGGTTGATTCCAGAGAGAAGCTATTCAGAGGGAGCAGGGAATGAAAAAATGGATGGCCTACTACTTTTCATTATAAAGCATGTATTACTTACTATTTGACTTTTAAATTATGTACATGTATTACTTTGTTTATATACATATACATGGTGCCTTTCCTTGTAAGTACAGAAATTAACCCAAAGTAGATCAAGCAAAAACACCATACATTTCTAGGCTATATGGGGAAATTTCAAGCGAACAAATTTAGGACCCCAAACCAGGCTTCAAAGTCTGGCCATTATTCCCTAGGTCTTTCTCACTCCAGGATTACAAAGGTCCTTGTCTCTACTTACTTTTATGTATTTGCTCCATTTTTCTCTTTGCAGATTGGTATGTATTGCTTCTCTTCTTCCCCGTTACTTGGGCTTGCTGGCTGCTCTGGCTCTGCCAGGAGTAAGCTCTGGTGCTGACTTTACAAGGAAAATCCAGGATGCATAGTTTTCAAACTGGCTTCATGTCTGTGTCCTTTGGTTCAAATTCCAAACACTGAGACTGAATGATGAGGTCCATGTACAGATTGTCTACTCCTCATGAGATCACAAGATACAAAAATGGCTTCCCAAGCCCATCACTTAAACAAGGTCTCTGAGAAGTACACAATTTCAAAGAAGTGGCTGCTATTGGAAGTTATATAGACATACCTCGTTCATGATTCCATGCTCACCAAACTACCTTTCTTTAAAGCTTTATTGAGGCATATATAATTGCTATACCAAAAAACTGCACACATTTAATGTATACATCTTGATGAGTTTGGACGTATGCATACACTAGTGATACCAGCACCATAACTGATCACCAAATTCCTACTAATAATTTGGTTTACCTTGAAGCTTGCCTACTAAGGAAGAATGCACTGGCCTCTGGAAGTTATATTTCTGCTTTTAAATTAATAATGTGACTTCTACAATATAAGTAAAAAGAGAGACAGTAAGCGGAGAGAATCAGTCTACAAAGAGGAAAATAGAACAAATACACAAGGGAAGTATGGACAAATAGAGAAAACTAAAAAATTGCCTTACTTTTCAGTTCTTTTGAGATTTGGCTTCACATCTTGAACTTCTTTCCATAAGATTCCCCTGTAAGCCTGCAGATACATCACCTTTTTACTTGATCTATTTTGAGTGATGATTTTTTTTTATTTTCAACTGTGGTTCATTGACAAAAATATTAAAAAGTGTCACGCCCTAGTGTTAGACTGTGGTAAATTCCCCAAGATAGTACTTATCCTATAGGGTCTCTTGGCAGTCAGCCAACTTTAGCTAACCTTCCTTGACCTAATATTTATGGGTTTGCATATTTTGAAAAATATCTAATAAAAAGTCTACAGTACTATTCTTACTTTTACAA